GGGCGGCATCACTGCCTGGAACAACGCCGGCTTCAACAGCGAAGATCGAGCTGAGCGCCCTCGGCGCCAGGGCCCCCTCCCGGCGACTCGGGGGACATCCTCTTTTCCTCTTTTTCTACCCCCCCCCCCCCCCCCCCCCCCCCTCCCCATCGCACCCGCCACAACCCAGGACGAGCTCACCATCCTTGTTCTCGGATCGCCGGTCATCGACCTGGAGGACCTGCGCCACCACACCACCTACCAGCATGATGCCCTGCGCGAGCATCCAGCCGTGGCGGCCTTCTGGCAAGTCCTGGCCAAGGACTTCTCGGAGGTCGAACGGCGCCAGCTCATTCGCTTTGCCACCGGGTCCTCCCGGGCCCCGGCCGGTGGCTGGCAGTCGCTCCACCCAAAGTTCTGCATCCAACTGATGGACTCGCAGGATGCCGACCACATGCCGACGGTTTCCTCCTGCCTGCACCTTCTCCGCCTGCCGCCACTCAGCGACCCGGCTCGCATGGCTCAGGTCCTGCGCCGGGCCATCGTCGAGACCGGGTTCGATGTGCAGTGATGAGGCTGCTTCCGAATGCCCCCTCGCCAAAGGGCAATATACCACACACATACATACACACGCACACACACGCACACACACGCACACACACGCACACACACGCACACACACACACACACACACACACACACACACACACACACACACACACACACACACACACACACACACACCTGTAGAGGGAGTCGAAGGGGGGAGGGTGGAAAGACGGGGGAGGGGAACCCTGGCGCTTGGCAGGAGAGCATATGAATTGCTGTATTTGAAGAGGGAAAGAAGAAGGAAGGAGAGAGGGGAGAGGGGGACAAAAAGCCAAGATAGCCCGGGGGGGAAGTGGGGGGGGGGGGGGGGGGAGGGAAAAGACCCGAGAATGGAGGCCCCGACGGGCGTCTTCAGTCCCAGTCCGCCTCGTTGGTGGACTCCTCGTCGGAGGTCGGCTGGTTGTCCTTCCGGATCATGGACAGGTGCCGGTGGAGGTCGCTCATGATGTCCTGTGCGCGCACAAGGACAGCACAAAGAGAGGGGGGCGGTGGAGCAAATGTCAGATGAGACGCGGTGGCGGCGGGAGGAGGGGCGAAGCCAGGAGGAGGAACAGATCGCAAGAGGTGGATCATCGAGGCCCCATGAGACACGTACGCCGGAGGAGGACTGCTTGGGCTTGCTCTTGGAGGCGGGGCGCTTGTCCTTGGAGCTGCGCAGCTTCATGCGGCCACCGCCGGACTTGCGGATCTCGTCCAGCAGGCCGCCCCTCCCCTCGGTCGGGGCCGGCAGGGGGATGGACGACATGGCGGTCTCGGTGGCCGGCGGCGGCGGGCCGGGAGCCGGCGGCGGCGGCGGCGGCGGAGGCGGCGGCGGAGGCGGAGCACCAGCCGGCGGCGGAGGCGGCGGCGGGGGGGGCGGCGCGCCCGACGACGCCGGGGGGGGTGGCGGAGGCGGGGCCGGCGCGCCGGACGAGGGGGGTGGCGGTGGCGGGGCGCCAGCGGCAGCAGGCGCGGCCGTGGTGGCCGCCGCGCCGCCCATGGCATCGGCAGCGCTGAAGTCCGGCAGCACTGACGGGGCGATGTTGCTCGGCATCGAGGTATCCCCCTCGCCGACTGACCGATGCGAGGGAGAGAGAGAGAGAGAGAGAGACAGAGGAGCAAGAGGGAACAGGGGGCAGGGAGCACGAGGAAGGGAGAACCGGTGAGACAGGCACAGCGAGGGAGAGAGGGAAAGAGGGAAGGAAGTAGAAAGGAAAGACCCCAACGCACTGCTCCACTGGAGGTCGGTGGCGATGTTCGGCAGGTCCAGGCGATCTGGCAGCTCCATGTCCGGCAGCTCGGTCATCTGCGGCCGGAAGCCGACATCCATGCGGTCGCCATACTCCAGACCCAAGCCCAGGCGGATGGTATCCGGGGCCATTTGCAGCTCGAGGGACTCGTCGCGCCGCTGGACCTGGGCCTTGGCGGTGCGGACCTCGGTCAGGTTGTCGATGTGCTCGTACGTGCGGTAGGGGTTCAGCCGGGAGTTGAAGAGCAGCAGATCCGAGGAGGTCCGAGCCGTCGGCGGCAGAGCACCGAGCGAATTGACGGCGGTCGAGTTCTCCGGCTGCATATCCTCATTGGCACTGAGCGACTGCGAGGCCGATCCGGCCAGGGTCTGCAGGACGGTCATGCTGGTGGGGACATTCTGCGCCAGGAACTTGGCGTCCAGCAGGTAGGACTCGCGCTTGGCCGTGACCACATCCACGATCGACGCCGGCGGCGTGAGGTTCTCCACAATTTCGACCACCGGCGAGGCAGGCGGCGTCGGGGACTTCGGCCGGGCGGGGGGCTTGGCCGGGCCGTCAGCGTCGGTGTCGGCGCCGGCATCGGCATCGGCATCGGCATCGGCGCCGGCATCGGCATCGGCATCGGCATCGGCATCGGCCGGCTTGTCCTCCTCGTCCGAGGGGGCCGGGCTGACCGGGGTGACGACCTGAAGCAGGGATTCCCAAGGGAGGGAGGGGAAGCGCGAGGACGGCCGACGGCCGACGGCCACAGGACGCACGCCAGCCCGGGCAAACAAACGCCAAGGTCAGAGAAAGAGAGACAGAGCTTCGAAGGAGGGGGGGGGGGGGGAGGGGGCATCATGGCAGAGGGCGCTGCCCACAGGACACGCAAGGAAGGCACAGGCCATTCGGGACGCACCTTGACCGGCAGGCGAGACTGGTACAGCTGATCGGCAGCCGGCCAGGCCATGCGGACCTCCCCGGGGGCCAGGGGGGCGGGCTTGCCGCCGAGCATGATCGACCGAATGTTCGGCTGATAGAGTGCACCAAAGGTGAGACCGGCGCTGGCCGCCGGGAAGGCGCTCGAAGAGAAGACGGTGATCGATCGCGCCGGCGAGTCGGCCAGCGCGCTGACACGCGCCTGCGCCGCGCCCGCACGGCCATTGATGCCGGCCAGTCGCGACTCCGATTCGGAGATCTGGGTTCCGGGTCAGCAGGAGGGGGGGAGACCGCCAGCCGGGCAGGAGCGTGGACGCGCACATGCGCACACACAGGGCGGGAAGAGGGCGGAAGAAAGGAAAGGGGGGAGGGGAAGGAGGAAAAAGGGAGGGCGGAGGGGCGGGGGGGGGGGGGGGGATGCTGCGGAGCGGCGGACCATGGACGACACGCGGTCAAACACCGCCGATGAAGCGCTCTCGAGGAAGGCCAACAGGTCAACCACCTGTGCCATGGACTCAGTGTCCTCGAGGCCAGAATAGAGCACTGCAGTGACGAGAGGGGGGAGGGGGTGGGGGGAAGGCAAGGAAAGAGGTAAGTGCATGCCCAGCGCAGGTCCCTGGCGCAAAAAAAAAAGAGGGGAAGATCAAGAAGGGCGACAATGCAGAGCATCCGCACCGGGGACCACAATCTGCGGCGGCGAGGAAGCCGCGCCAGTGGCGGACGCCATGCTGGAAAGGAGGAGGGGTCGGGCCCAGGGCCAGCGCTGCGGAGGGGGGGGGGGGGAAACAAGGAACGAGCGGGAGAGGGAGGGGAGGCGGGGCGAGAACCAGGAAAGGGGGGAGGGGGCAATCGCGAGGGGCGGCGAGGGGGCTGTCCAACGCCCGCGAAGGTGGCCGCCTGAACTGGGGCCGCCCAAAATACAAGCACCATCAAGGGGATGGGATCCGCCCCCAATCCCCCGCCTTGCGGGACGCGCCAGGCCGGGAACATCAATGCCCCCCGCTCTCGGGCGCCCTCGTTCCCACTCTCGGGTGCTTTCCGACCCGCACCGCGCGTGGGGCGTGCCAGTCAACAACCGAAGGAAGAAAGCCGCAGGTGAGGGGGGAGGGGGGCGAGAAAATAAAAAATAGAAAGACAACAACATCGCCCCCAACCGGCTCCCGGCCGGGCCCGCCTGGAGGGGGCGTGACCCGCCCGAGCTCATGCCAGCCATTCTGGAGCTCCTCGTGACCCGGGTCCGGGGCACCTGATCCAACTGCCGACGATGGTGCCTCGTTTCCAGTTAAGTCTGCTCGGTACGGCGACGGACCGGAACTTGGGCAGCATGAGAAAGGGCACAGGCGGCATCGAATGGACGGACGGGAAAGAAAGGCTGGCATGGTCTATTCTCGCTCCTGCCGCTGGTGTGTTGAGGATACACACACACACGCACACGCACATACACACATGCACACAAGTGGCCGCCCAACGGGACGGGTGTCCGGGGAGGGGGAAAACCATCCGGGCGGATTTTGCCGGCGCCGAGCGCCGGCATTTCCAAACACCGGAGAGGGACCACCCACAAGCCATCAATCCCACGCATGGAAGAGTGCCCGGAAGTCCGCCGGCTCGCGGCCATCATGGACCTTCTGGATGACCGACAGCGGATTCAGCGGGAGGATGGCAGCGAAATGGTGCTGCAGGTAGGTCTGGGTGGCGCGCACGGCCAGCGACTCGGCCACCACGGCGTCCGACGTGCGCCCGATCCACAGGTACACCGGGCACGAGCTGAAGGTCTCGCGCAGGGGATCCGGGTCCACCAGGGCCACGACATCCGGGCGCAGGTCGCTCCGGCAGAAGTCCGTCTGCTCGGTGGCGAAGAAGGCCAAGTGTGACCCCCCGGAGGCCATGGCGGCCGACAGGTCGACGCTCGAGCTGGAGGCATCTGTCGGGGCATCGGCCGCCGGCGAGGCCGGCGGTGTTGCGGCCATGCCGGGAACCGGGCCCAGGCCGCCGCCCGGCGACGTGGCCCCCGGCCCGAAGGACAGCGTGGTGATGGTGAACTGGAAGAGCCGGGGGTACACCCGACGCAGGAGCGACCGGATGGAGGAGGCGGCCGTCGGCCCATCGAGGGCGTCCGGGTTGTCGGCATCCGGAGCAGATCCATCATCCGGCGCCGGGGCCGACCCCGCGGCCCCGCTGAGCGAGGGCGAGGAGGTGATCGAGGCGCTGGCGCTGCCCAAAGCCGGCGACCGGCGCGGGCTGGCCTCCACATGGGAGGCATTGAAATGCAGGTCCGTCGGCGAGGGAGGCTGCAGGTACACCCCGGCCGAGCCGTCCAGGATGAGCGCCCTGCGGAAGGACTTCAGGTGCGAGGCCACCACCGGCACGGACAGCCCACTCCGAGCGAAGGTATACGACAGGACCAGGCCCAGGCGCTGGCTCACGCTGGCCGGCGACACCCGGCCCATGCCCATCAGCTGGCGGAAGGCCGGCGACTCGGACCCCTCGGGCTCGGCGAAAATCAGCGGCACCGAGGGATCCGACGACCGGAAGCTGGGGACCGCCGTGGCGGCGGCCTTCCCCCCGGGGGTCATGGCCTGCGACACGGCCGCCCCGACCGGCAGGAGGAAGTGCGCCCGGAGTTGACGCGAGTAGCGCGAGCACAGGCGCCGGTCCACGGCCCGGGTGGCCGCCCCATGCCACTCGAACACCTGCCGCTGGGCCAGGTCCACCACGATGAAGCAGTCGCTGGACATGAGCAGCCGGCTGGCCGGCGTCGAGGGGGAGGGGGTCACCTCGATGGCGCGACTTGTAATCCGCGAGGAGCCCAGGCGAATTTGGAAGATGCGCACCGGGCTCGGGGATCGGGCGATATCCAGGAACCCGTCCTTCACCGGCAGGGGGGTGCCCTGGGGTAGGTAGGGAGATCGGGAGGGGGAACAGCAGCAAAGGCGAGGGCAGCGCGGCAGCAAAGGCGAGGGCAGCGCGGCAGCAGCGTAGCAGCAGGTCAGCAGCAGCGCAGAAGCGGCGCAGAGGCAGCGCAGAAGCAGCGCAGAGGCAGCGCAGAGGCAGCGCAGA